ATCCTTTTACGTCAGTGCAGTACAATAGATCTGTACTTTCAATAAAATACTAACGAAACTTTTTCTTTCGATTACGGTATGCACTGACTTTAGTACCCATTGTCACCATATTTCTTCTCTTTGAGTCTGAAGCTAGTAACTCTGATTGTTCTTTGCTTAAACCAATCTTTCTAATTAAATCGTTCAGACTTTTCTTTTCATATTTTTGAACAGTTTGCTTTCTACCGATATGAACATACTATATACTCTTCACTACTGTATAGAGGAAGAATTCTCTTAATTTCTAGCGTTATCACGTGAATGAGTTTTTTGTACATTAATTTAATTTGACAAATGATCAAATATATCTCTTGATTCTTTTTAAGCTCTTCATAAATACATTGTTTACAAATTTTATTACGATTTATTGTTGTTATACAATCGTTATACAATCGTTATACAATCATATTCAATCGTTTTTATCTTTTTGTTCTTTCTATGTTTTAGGAGTTGTAAAATTTGCTTAGTGCTAAATAATATGCTACCTCATTTTCATGAGCATGACTAATGCTCAAGTTTGGGTGTGAATAGCCTAACTACAATTTTCACTTACATTTGAGATACTTTATCTTAAGCTAGTATTAGTACTCTTTAGTGGTACTTACAAAAATCCACTACCGCTGCGAAATATGTTGGCTACGATGACAACTACCCTGAAAATGGGATATGTAGAATGATTAATTTGTTCCAACTATTCCCAGTAACGAAACTAGCACAAGCGCGCTGTCTTGCAGGGGAGCGTTAGGATGTGAGGATAATACCGTAGTATGTCTGACAACTAGTTGACATTGTCTTCGTCAAAGTCAGAAAGCTCTCATATTTAGGCCTCGGGAGGTATGGGAGTTATCACCCCTAGGATGGCGAACTCACCTGTGATTAGGACAGGATTCCAAGCTTGTAGGGTTTATATTCAATTTATGGCACATTTCAACCTTCAATCTTCAATAAACTCTGCTGGCATGTCCGGTAACCGATTTAGTCATAAGTATGTAGGAAATTCGGATAACTTCTGTTATGTATGTTCCCTTTACGTCGAGATGGAATGCAGAAGAAAAATTACAGAGTCAATAAGCCATTCATATAGGATGTGCTTTGACAGTGACATTTTACAACAAGACAAAATCTGAGTCCCTCATACTGTATGTGGCTCATGTTACTCACATAATTTACATATACTCATGTACAATGATGAATTGAGTCAGTTCAAATCAGGACAGGGCCAAATTAAAGTTTTGTTAAAAATCATTAAATTTATTCTATATGTTATTAGTAAACGTCTCTATGGAGTGGTCTTTTAAAAAATATGATGTCAAATTTATGATCAGCAATTTCAAAAATCGCCAATATACTATTTATAATGGTTATAATTGTTTTGAAGTGACAAAATCAAATTTCAATTAATTTCGAATCAAATTTAGCATAAATTTCGATTTTTTCGGTTTTTTAATAGCTTCGCTCAGTATGAAGGGTTGCAAAATAGTTCAAATTTATTCAAGACATAGTTTCCAATGTATTTTTCCCCGTAGAATTCAATTCTGTAGTCAAAATATTTTATTTTCACTCTTTTTAATTTTAAATTTCGAAAAACCCTCAAAAAACCTCAAATAATGAGGTTCTTCGTTATAAACCTTAAAATATGCGGGAAAAGACTATATTTTATATTGCAGATTCGGATTCAGCTTCGAAAAATACGTAAGAAAAAGTATATCTAGTCAAAAGTACAGACACCTTTTTTTTGTGGGCCTGTGTTATCGATAGGAAAGGTTAACCAATATAATAATCAGTAACTCTTTATATCGTCCAAAGGTTCGCTGAACCTGTTGTCAGCCATTTCATGGAGTTGAATTTTATTTTTTTTTTTTTTTTTTGAATATTATAAATTGATTACGATTTTCTATGTAATTTTTGGAACCTCTTGTATATGCTATTAAGAATTAAATATCTAGGTATACTTGTAAATAATGAAACTACGTCGAAATGGGAAAAAACAGGCACAATTTATAATATTCAGTGTAAACAATGTCCATCGAATTACATCGGTGAAAGCAAAAGAGCTCTCAAAAATAGAATTAGTGAACATAAATATTCCGTGAAAAAAACTATTGAAGATCCAGTCAACTCTAGATTTAAACTTTTACCTATACCGGCCCATATCGTGAATAATCCAGAACATGAATTTGATTGGGAGAATGCAAAAATCATGCATTTAGAAGCTGATTACAGAAAGAGATGCATCGCAGAGTCGGTGTATATTAAAATTACGGATAATACCATCAATTCACAGGAAGACACAAAATATTTAAACAATCAATACTCAAGAATACTCAACATCATAAAATCTACTTAGTTTCAGTACGAAAAATAAACATAGTTATTACAATACATCACTAATTCCCTTTCCTTCCAGTGTTTCCCCCACTCGTCAAGTACACTTTTTCTCTTGTTGTGTCTCTCGCTGTCTTTCTCTTTTATTTCATATACAGTACGATATGTCATTATATACATAACAGTTACTTAGCTTTTAATTTGCTGATCATGATGTGTTTTTACCCAATTGACAAACTATATTTTTACCTGACAAAAGATTGTTATTCTATTTTTATATTTATTATTAGACAGAAAAATTAATATTTATTTAATTAAAAGTGTAATGTTTATAACAGACCATGTATGTGCGGAAGAACTCTTAATTTATTCAATTTTATCTACATTACAAAACGTATGTTTATATTATAATACAATATTAATATTGAAAGAATTCCTTTATTTATAATAATATATATATTCAACAGATGTACTGAGGTGGCAATAAATAAAATTGCGAAACGTTTATAATAAAATAAGTGTTTAGTTTATTTATAGGGACGACTCCTAAGATCAAGATTACTAATATAATTATCAAACATCAGGAGTGGAAAAAATTAACAATAATTTATAAGCACTTTAAAAGTTAGATTTTGTCAAAGATTTTTCAAGTTTTTCTTTCATAGATTAATTACTCTACAAGAGTGTGTTGTCAACTTGCACTATCGCTTAACTTGAAAGATCATATAGTGTTCTCACGAATATTTTTTCATCTTTGTAAGATATGGGCGTACCAATTTTTACGATATTAAGAGTGTGCACCACTATCTTGAGAATGAGGTTTTTATCGGTACAGTATATGCATCTTGTGAATAAGTGCTCTACGTCAGAGAGAGAAAGTAAACACTCCGAGTAGGAAGGCAGCAATGTGGAGAAGTACTTAATTCGCCATTTTCATGGCCACTCAAAATTTCTGCCCTAATCGTCCAATAAGTTTAAGAATAGCCCGTAGGCTGACTTTGCTAATCCGCGAGTCAACCTAGATTTTTTGTTTCATGAATGATTAGCGGTACGATATTAGTTGAGGTCGGCGGTTTGTGTTTGTTATCTTCTCTCTCTCTCTCTCTCTCTCTCTCTCTCTCTCTCTCTCTCTCTCTCTCTCTCTCTCTCTCTCTCTCTCTCTCTTTTATGATCTTATATGTGTCCAAAAAGTGTTCGACCTTAGCCAACTCCGTATTAACTGACAAAAGAAATAAAGCAATATGCTCGTACCTTGAGTAATATTTATCATCAAAGCTAATCGCTTTCAGTTACTGAAATCTCGATATACTGACCTTTTCTCTGTCCGAATCCGAACTCACGCACTTGACTGTGCTTTTGTATCACAGTTTCATGAACACATTTTCAGCTTTCAGTATTGCAACATTATTTATCCAGCATATTCAACTCCGTGTTATGGATCGAGATGGCTGTAAACCTCGATAATAACCTCGAGGGAACTTGATTATAAAAATGAAAATGTATATATAGTAATTATCAATCATTTATTATACCACGTTACAAAGTGAACAAAAATTTCGGTAGCTTAACGTCACGTGAATGATTTAAAAATCAGTTTATCTTAATACATGCTTATCTGAATAACTTAAAATACATACAAATGAACGCAATTAATCTTTATAAAAAAGTGGAGCCATACTTAAAATAAGTCGTAAATTTCCTCCAACCATTCATTCCATACTAATCTACGAACTTTTATTTCAAGTAATTTTTTTTTATTTGTCATAAATTTTGTTATTTATTAATTTCTAATCAAATAATTTCTTTTATTATAATAAATCCATTACTTTTGTCGTATCATATGAAAATCCGAAATAAGAAATTCTATATTTACCATATGATCGCTAAAAACCAAAGGTGACGTAATTTTCAATACCGTAGATATAGACTATACTGCACGTTAACTTCAAGTTGAAAAAACTTCAAAGGTTACAGGCAAGCCACATGAGGGTATATACTTCTCAAGATTAAGGATAATCTAAAATATTTTTCGTAATAATTTACCTTTGCCCAGTTATTGACGTGAAACTATTGAAAAAAGAAACAACAAAACTAACCTCTACTTGTTATTTAAAGTGTCAATTTAATCTCGCTAATTGATAATCTTCGAATGAACGTAGAATTTTCCATTCTTACTGAATCTGAAATGAAAAACATAAAGTAGATCTTAAAGATCACATATATCATGGTAAGTGTTGCTCGGAAGCCAATTATTTTTATTTCAACAATTTTTTGTAGTACAAATATTTACAAATATTACATTGTTAGAATAAACACATATGAAAAATTTTGTAATTTCTGCAAATATTGTTTATATTACCTTTGCAATAACTGTGGATAAGAAAGAATAAACAATCGCATTTTAGACTGTTGTTATACAATGATCTTATTTTCAATACCATAAACAAAAAAGGGTAATTTGCACAAACTTTAGCTTTCAAAAATAGCAAATATTAAAACCAGAAAGATTATGATATTTTATATATCCTAAAAATGATATATTATGTATATAATAAATTATAAATTCATATTCAATCAAAAATGTACTAAATATGCTAACTTTTGAAATTGTATTGACATCCTATTCTTTCTTTCAGCTGCCAGTAGTGGATCCATTCTTGGAAAAAGTTTCTCTTTCTGACCTAGGTAAATCGTATTACTGCTATCATTCATGATTGAATATTAACATAATTATTAGTTATCATCGCTAATTGTTCATTTACTTATGAATAATCAATAGTCACTATAATTTAATATTATGCTACTGGAAAAAGTTAAGGAAACAGAAAAAATTCCCAAATTTTTCGGCGATATTTAAAGACTTCATTTTCGTGAAAAATGATCGTATCGAGATGAACAAAAAAAAAACATTTTTAAGTTTAAAGTTTTTAGTTTATAGATTTTTTAATCCTTATTTTAATCTTTTTTTTTTCATCATTTTAAATCCTAATTTTTCATCTGATATGGTTACTGTACAATCCTAAGAAAAATAGCAAAAAACATTCTTGCTTTTTTTTTGAGACTTTGGCAAATTTTTTTCATTTAAATAAAGTTAAATTTCTGTTAGCTTATTTATTTATCCATCTTCAATTTAATTTTTTTCTTATTTCTCTATGTCCATTTGTCACTGAGATATTGAATTTTAAATGAAAAATGATCCTTTTTCCTTCAATTGCCAATATCTTAACACCAATAATCGTACAGCAAATAAAAAAGAAATTCTAAAAATTAGAATAAATTCCATACAAGACTTTATTCATTGGTTATTGAGAAAAATTTTTTTTCAATCTTCGATATTAATTTGAAAAAAGTACGAAAAAATGGCTTTTTGAGTTATTTATATGAATTGTCTCAACTTGTCTCAAACTTTTCAAAACGTTACGATGTTTGTAGACTTTCATTTATTTCAATACTATAAGAAGTAAGATTGTTAACTCGTTATGTCTCTCTCTCCCTATTATTTAATGATTTATTATTATTATAATTGCATGTAATTATTTTATAATTGCATTTATATTACAATATTATGTTGTATGTTGCTAAATTTATATTAGCGAGACGAAAAGAGAGAGACAGACGTATTCGTGTCTTATTTGAGTAATTGCACCTGCTGTTTGGTTGCAACGAGCGCGACGCGACGTATGGATAACGTCCGCGAAGCCAGAAAAGTCATGCTGATCTTCGGAGCGACACGTTTATTCATCGTTACACAAAATTTTCTACGGCTTTTTTAACTCTTCTGCTTGGTGACCTTACTCTTCCTACGTGTACACTAATCGTACTTAACTGTGGTGTCAGGCATGACAAATAACTTTACGAGGACTTTCCTGTGTTTTTGTGCGTGTACGTATTTGGCGGAGCCTTGGTTTTTGACCTGTAGCGACGTACGTAGACGCATCACCTGTAACTATCAGTTCGATAGTTCTCTCGAATTGTTGCTCGTTTTCTCAATAATAAACAACGAGATGCATGAACAAATGCGCAAAATGTTGGAGGCAAGTATAATTCGTATATCAACCAGTGAGTGGTCTAGCCTGGTAGTCATGGTGCGTAAGCTAGATAGCTTGTACATGTTCTGTATTAACTACCAGAAAGTGAATGTAGTGTCACGCGTCAGCGTATATCCATTGCCGTACATGGACGTAATTTTGCGCAAGTTGCAGCACACAAGATACATTACAGCTCTCCATTGCTCGGGTCCATTTTTGTAGATTCCTTTGACCTATCAATCAATCCCGATCATTGCATTGACTGTTTCAGGCATGGGATTCTTTAAGTTCATCAGGATGCCATATAAACAAAGTGGTCATTCTGGAAATGGAGCCCTATGCGTTTGCGTATTTAGACCGTCTGATGATCATGACTGAGACGTTTTCAGATCATGTTAAATGGCTTAGAATAATCCTATGTAGGATTAAAGAAGCTGGTCTAGCTATGAATCGCAAAAGGTCGTGGATATGCATGTCTGAGGTACGTCACCTCGGCGCGTTAGTTAACTTAGGTGATCGGCTGAGTGTGTATCTTTGCGATACACCAAAACGTCATTTAACCCTTAACTACTATGTGGGGTAGATTTACCCCAGAAATTTTTAACAATAAATAAAATTTATTTATTTTTGTTTTTTCAACAAATTTTTTCAGTGTGTGTAACATTAAAAATTGTTAACCTGAATATTTTTTTTTGTAGTAAAAGGTTTGAAATATACTAGAAAAAATTTTCATAGCAAAATATCTAAAATTCTCTGATTTATTCGATGATTTTCGTGCTGGGGTAGATTTACCCCACCGAGCAATTACGTGGTCAAAATGAGGTGTGCAAATTAAAGGTTAAAGATAAATTTTTTTTTTAATTCTTTAAAAATTTCTGTGTTTTTTCTGTATAAAATAAAGCATTTTCTTAATTTCTTTCAAATAAACATTTTTGTATCATTTTAATGTTCAAAGATACGGAGAGTCGAAATTTAACGATGTTTTGAGAAAAAAGAATTTGAATAAACAATAAACAAAAATAAAACGAAATTTGCAAGCAATTTCGAAAGTACTTGAAAAAAGCTACGAACTGCTTTTTTTTAATTGTTTTAATGATTTTTTTTTGCAATACGGTAAGTACTTGAAGATGAGCAGAAATTAAAAAAAAAATTTTGTTTATAATAAGATCAAGGAAATATTATTTAAGGTGATTGTGATATAAATCTTTGAAGTTTTCTTAATTTTGTGTTTGGGTGGGCAAAAACTTTTGACTAGGAGTGTACTGTTACGTTTAGACTATTCTACGTTATAATAAATTACTAACTAAAAACACCTCGCTCGCTACTGCTCACTCGGTAGTATTTTCAATACGTCTCTTTAAAATATGCACGAGAATGGATTTGACTTTATATCAGTGAAAATTATATAATGCGAGCAGCAACCAATCCGGAAGCTAAGGGCAGCATCGTTGCAGCATCACCCGAGAGCAAAAGTTGTTTGCTGATATCAATTACGGCTGATCACCGTCATTGCACCGCAGGGTAGATGCACCTCCTTTTTTTCCGCGCGACAAAATATTTCCGGAAGTATTTTGTTATACGCGACCGTTATCGCATTCGCGCCGAGCGTTATATTTCGCGGTAGAATTTGAATTCTCTCTCTCTCTCTCTCTCTCTCTCTCCCCTGATAATGGTAAATCTTATACGCGTGCGCAAGTCTTTCGGCACACCAAAGACTGTAACTTCTATTATTATAAACGTCTTGATTTTTATTCGCCGATTTACGTTCTTTCGTTACCCTTTAATTTAATGGATCCGTCACCTGATATTTTTTTGAACCGATTTTATCTAGGGAATAGTGGAAAGAAATATTATTCTCCGTACACCTAAGAGAAAGCAAGTGTCACAAGTCAGGTGACTTAAGGAGAATTCAACTCTATTGGAAAGGAGACATTGGAGCGAATGTATTAATCGTAAAGTCGAATACACGTATGCTCATACGTGATTAACGGAGCGGCGGTTAGCTCTGCATCGTGGAACATTGTTCTTAAATAAACCCAATTTGCATCAGTTAATCCACCCCGTTACAATATATATTTTTAAATGAAAATTATAATAATTATAGACGTTGATTAGATTGAATTAAGTTATTCAACTTATTTATATGTATATTTATAAATAGAACTTTTACATAGAAATATTATCAGAGAAATAGAACACAAATGAAGTAAATTCATTTTACAGATCAAATTTATCGAAAATGATAAACTCATCGTAGGAGATTATATTAAATGCACTATACTTCCATTGCGAATGTGATGCAAATGAATATTTGTAAAATTATATTTTATAGAACATTATGAATTACATAGCAAATTATCGTTAAAGAAAATGAATGCCGAATTATTGAATCATTATCAATTCATTACATTAATTTTAATATAAATTTTTTTGAAGTTGCGATTTATTGAGTAAGATAAATCGTTAATATAGCATATATATCGTTGTTAGAAAAAAAATCTATGTTAAAAATATTACGTTGTGCAACGGTAGTCGATTTAATTAATCGAGTCGTTCGCGATTCTGCTTCTCACGCGTTAGTTCGAACTATTGAGAGAGAGAGAGAGGGGGCGCGCGATCTTTTGAATAAGCAGTTACGCCTCAGCTGTTTACGCGAGTTTACCGCCGATTTGTGTTTTGCACTTTGATTCGCAAAAATAATTAGTTTTCCGAACAAATACGTGCGTGGGTGCAACAGCAAGCAGCGGTGCAGAAGCAGCAGATTTGCAGCATATAAAGACGAATTGAGGCAGTGCAGCTGATTAAGCGAGGTGCAGCGGCAGTTGATAATTTTGCTACAACAATTACGGCTGATCACCGTAATTGCACCGCATGGTAGGTGCACCTTCCGTCATATTAAGCGAAACAAAATACATTCGGTATTTTGTCTATCCGTGATAGCATTATATTTTTTGTATTCGCGTCGTGCGTTAGTTCGCGGTAGAATTCAAATCTACTCTCTCTCTCTCTCTCTCTTTCTCACCGAACATAATTAAATTGTAAAATCCTATTTTCGTGCGTCAGTCTTTCGGCCCAACAAAGACTATAGTGATTTTTTATTAATTAAAGTCTGTTAAATTTATTCGCCGTTTTCGTCATTTGATTTTCCTGGTAGCTTAAGAATTTGAAACAGGCTTAGATTTTAATCCAATTACATCTAGGGGATTAAGAAGATTAGGAGTAAATTCGCTCACACTTAAAACTCATCAAGTGTAACAAGACATGTGACTTAAGGTGAGTTCAACTCCGATCGATAGAAGACAACTAAGATAAATCATCTGACGTTACGGCGAATAAACGTATTATCATACGTGTTTAACGGAGCGGCGGTTTACTCTGCATCGTGGGAGTTTGTTCTTAAATAAATTTCCCATTTTCAGATAACCTCCCCCGTTACAGTTGATAATAATAGTATATTGCATATTGCAAATATAATAATTCAAATATAGATTAGCTACACTTACGAAAAGTACAGAAAGAATATTTAAAATTTTTTTGTGGTAGAGATCAGAAGGTGATGTTACAAATAGAAGAATCCTCGTATGTCTAAATTTTTTAGAAATTTCATTCACAATTTAATTGAGAAATATTACAATATCAATACAAAGACACAAAAAA